CCCGCCGATGGCGCCGGCAATAGCGGCGGCCCTGTAGAGCGCACCGGTGCCGAGTCCGGCGACGGCGCTGTTGACTAAGTCATCGGTGGCTCTAAAATGGATCATCCCGCTCTCGAGGCCCGCGAAGATGAGGCCCAAGACGCCGAGCGAGTTGCCGAGTCTGCGGCCCGCGTGGCCCCCCGAGTTGAGGACTCGGTTGAGACGGAGCTTGAGGGAGTCAGCGGGTTCGGCCTCGCGGAGGCCCTGGGCGGTGCCTCTGGCGGCGCCGATGAGGGCGCCGGAGAGGTAGCCGGTGCCGGTGTAGTACTGGAGGTTGTCGCCCCAGGAGCGGTGGGTCCTGGCGGCTTCCTCGGGGAAGAGGTGGTCCGGCGCGGTGGGGAGGTTGTAGAGGTTTTGGATGGGAACGTTGAGGTCCTGGTAGGGATGGTAGAGGCGCGTTTTCTGGTCCTTCGACGCCATGGCCGTTCTTGGAAGCGTAGGGTTTAAGGGAGATTAAGGGTTTTGTAAATTTAATATTAAATGTTGAGATGCCAAAACTTTACTACTATTCTTTTTAAACTAGGAATGTGTATAGACAATTTCTGATATTACCCTAGAGATTCTGGGTAATTTTTTTTTATTTTTTATTTTTTTTTTGGCTGTATTTTGGCTAATTTTTTTAGGTTCGTTCCTGGAATATCCACCGCCGACAGCAGTGACTAATCTCCTCGTTACGTTGGAGGCACATCAAAGGATGGGATAGCTGGCCCCAAGATTTAACGCAGTTGTATACACAAGGCAGGATTCTTTGGCTAATTTAGTTATTGCCAAATTTTGTCTTTTAATTTTTTTTAATAAATAATTGATGAGAACACACCAATTATCAAAGTCTAAAAGTTTAGAGCATAAATTGCAGAAGAAGAAAAATAAGACCAAATTCATTAAAAAAAATGTATATAAACTATAAAGTGCAATTAAATCAACATTTTTTTTTTGACAAATTAGATGTGCATTAGGCATATCACATTATTAAACTTATTTATATCAGGCATGTCATGTCAATTTTGATAATTAGAACATAAATCAACAAAATTTAAAAGCTTAGAAGTATAATTCTTGAGAACAAAATTCACTTAAAACAAAAGTTAAAATACACAAAGTACAATTAAGAATTTTTTCAACAGTATATCATTACAATAATTTTTAAAAAAATATAAATAAAAAGTGATATTTAATATTATATTGAAAATTAAAATATAATTTATTTTATACATTAATTGCTATCTGACGATAAGAGTATTATTTTTAATTAAATGTTGGGAGACCAAATAATGAGATGGATAATTGCAAAGTTGGAAAAACCAAATAGCAGTATTAATGTTAATATTTTTTTGGCCTTTTTGTTCATTTAATTTATGGTCATGATTTACTTATAAAAAAATATTTGAAATGCCTTGAATATATTATTTAGTGTCCTAATGTTTTTTTAAAAAATTAATAAGTTTTTAAATTAAAATTTTAATTAAATTTTTATATTTTTGTAATTTAGTGTTTGTGATTAGAAACTTGTTTACAACCCGTAAAATTTCATAAAATATTGATAATATTTACATACTTTGACAATCATATTAGATTATTATATTATACAATGTTGTTACTTTTCTTGACATTTAGCATTTGTGAATGTGTTGCACTTTCTTTCTAAATTGATAATGAATGGACTCATAACTATTTTAACTTGTTTGACCCATCTGAAGCCTGCTCAACTCAGAACTTTCTTAATTTGATGACAATTTGGGTAGAAATAGATATGATATACACATCCTAGAGGTTATTATAGTTTGAGCTTTTATGATTTGAATCAACTCACTAATCATCCCTAACACAAGTATTTAATGATTCGAATCAGCTCACTAATCATCCCTCTTAAAATCATTATAATCTTACTTGATAAGCATCTCTCTTAAGATAGATACTTGGATAATTAAGGACCAATAATAAAATTATGATAGGATAAACAAGACTTAGGACGTTTGGCTAGGCTTTGCTAATCTTCAACTTGGCCTTGGTTAAAATTACATGGCTTGAGTTTTTTTTATTTTTATTTGTCATGATTTTTTTTAAAGGTCTAACCTAACCTGACATATAACTTTATTTATGAGTTTAATTGTAATATTTAATATTGTGATAAAAGTAAAAATATGTATGTTAAGTTTTATTAAAAAAAATAAGTTTGACTTTCTTATATGAATTAAATACGTTTTTAAGATTTAATATGATATTCATGGTGATAATTTATTTAAATAGATATTTCTTTATGAGGTGTTATAAACTTCACTTTTTTATATAAAGTCAACATATTAAATAATTAAAAAGATAGATAAATGTGCAATTTTTTCACATTATAACAAAATTAATATAACAATAATAAAAATATAATTTACTTTTATTTAAATAGGATAACATGATAGACCTAATAAGTCTTTTAAATGACTTAAAGCATGACCTTTTTAACTAAATAAGATTTAATAAAAGTTTTGATTGAAACTATTTTCTAAAGAGTAATGATATATATCCTTTCTCTTTTTTTTTTTAATAAATACAACTTTTTAAAATAAAAATTCCCATATATGTTTTTTTTTTTACTAATAAGTTTTTGGTTATAGTAAAATTGAATTTTATTTCCTTAAGCAAGATTTATAGTTTAAATCTTATAGATGAAAAAAAAAATGTAATTAACATGAAAATGTAACATTGTCAATTCATAACTCTATTGTCGTTTGATTTGATAGTTCTTGCTGAGAACTTTAGGGTCAGGTTATCCTAAAGAGCAAGTTGATTTCTGGAAGGCTGGATCATAGATAAATAGAACTAACTCATGAAAGGTATAAAAGAAAGATTTTCAAGAGGAAGCTCATAATTCAAATATCCTAAAGTTGAAGAGAGAAGTTAGAGAGAGATTCTCTCCTTCTTCTCTCTTCTTTCCTCTTCTTCCTCACTTGAACCTCCCTTTTTCTACCTTTTTCCTCAGTTGATCCTAGTTGGTTATGGGCTGGAATCCAAGCTTGTGAAAGCGGAAGATTCGAGTCAAAGTCGTATGGAGCTTGTGATTTTGAATTTAGGTATACATTTCGTGGTTGGGATGGATTAATATAAGGTGTTGGGTGATTGAATGATGAAATTGAGAGGGTTTTGTGGGTTTTGTTGTTCAAAGGGTGTTCATGGAGGTTCATGCTTGATTATTGATTGATAGTAGTTGCATGTTACTCCTAATGATGAAATTGTGTTGTACATGTTGTATAAATGTTGTTTATTGTGTTGCATGCTCTAGGATTTGTTGATTTTTATCAGATTGGATGAAATTGGATTCGACACAAGTGCATAATCTAATATCGCGCTTGGTGCGCCTTCATGGCATCGGGTAGGACTTCAAAAGAGAGGTATCTAACAAAATCACACCAAACATAGAATTGGTGGTGCCAGGTGTGAGGAGAGAGACTCATCTCAGGTTAGAATCTCATCGAGCATGGGTTGAATGGCGTTGAGCATGAGAAGAAAGACATGTACATGTCTCTACCTGGGTTCACACCGGGCGCTAAAGTGTGTGGTTTCAGATGTGAGTCAAGTTGAGAGCTTTCTACCAGATTGGAGCTGAGCATGGATGATGGAAGTACTTGAAGAAGTGGTTGATGATCCTCTTCAAGCTCCACCTTGAACGTCCTCTTCTTTTCTTGTGGTCTCTAATGGAGATTGGCAGAAGCACTTCAAGCCTTCAAAGCTTGATCGAAGCAACTAAGGTGGTTTGGTTTTCTCCTTAAAGATGACGAAGAAAGATGAGCCAAATCACAAAGAAAGAATTCCTCAGTGGAAGAACTTAAGAAGAGTGTTGTTCTCCACGGATTTAGTGACTCTTGAAAGAGAGAATTTGAAGAAAATTCTGATCTCATAAACTCAAAAGTGATTATAAATGGTAGGAATAATTTTATATAGAGTATGGAAACTTGTGGAGCAAGCTAATGCTTAACCATGGTTCAAGAGAACCATGATTGGCTTAGTTTGACCGTCCGCCATGGTTTGCGAGGCTTGTGGAGCAAGCTTCTAACTTAGTAGCTTGGGGAGCAAGTTAAGTTAGAAACTTGTAGCACAAGCTTCTCAAAGGTGCCAAGTGAAGAAGCAAATCTGGCCAAGGTTGGGGTGGGCGGCCATGGGCTATTTTCCATACTTAGTCCAATCCAAAAATCTTAAAATTGGTTTAGTTAGGTTCACCAAATGATGGTGAGACCTAACTAAATCAATTCCTTGAAAAATATGGAGCAAAACAAGTCTAATATGTAAAATTTAGCCCAGACCCAACTCTGACCCATTTATACTAGTTGCACCTATACACCTTGTAAAATTAAACTTATTTATATCATACATGTCATGTCAATTTTGATAATTAGAACATATAATTAGAATATAAATCATCAAAATTTAAAAGCTTAGAAGTATAATTATTGAGAAAAAAATTCAAAGAAAAAATTCACTATAAAATAAAAGTTAAAATACAAAAAATACAATTAAGAATTTTTTTTAACAATATATCATTACAACAATTTTTATAAAATATAAATAAAAAGTGATATTTAATATTATATTGAAAATTAAAATATAATTTATTTTATATGATAATTACTATATGTAAGAGTATTATTTCTAATTAAATATTGGGAGGTCAAATAATCAGATGGATAATTGCAAAGTTGGACAAACCAAATAGCAGTATTAATGTAAATTTATTTTTTTTGGCCTTTTTGTTGATTTAATTTATGGTCATGATTTACTTATAAAAAATATTTCAAATGCCTTTAATTTTTTTGTGGAGGAGGATAAAGAATATAATGCATGAGTGTTTGTTATATATAGATAAAATTTATAATAAGTTATACTTATAGATAAGTATTATATATTTATTATATAAATTATATTAATTTAAAATTTATTTAATACATCATTTAGTTTCCTAAAGTTTTTTAAAAAAATTTAAGAAGTTTTTAAATAAAAAATTTGAACTAAAATTTTTGTAATTTAGTGTTTGTGATTAGAAATTGGTTTACAACCCATAAGATTTCATAAAATATTGATAATATTTACGTACTTTGACAATTATATTATACAATGTTGTAGTTTTTCATGATATTTAATATTTGTGAATGTGTTACACTTTTTTTCTAAACTAAGAATAAATGGACTCAACTATTTTAACGTGTCTCACCCATCTGAAACTTATTCAACTCAAAAATTTCTTAATTTGATGATTGTTTAGGTAGAAATGGATATGATATACACATCCCAAAGGTTATTATAGTTTGAGTTTTTATGACTTGGACCAGTTCACTGGTCATTCCTAACACAAGTAAATAATTATTTGTAGCGGCTAAAACCTTCTCACAACAAGTTTAATTCCTCTTAAAATTATTATAATCTTACTTGATAAGCAT